GAATCAACGAGATGAATCATTTGCGTTGGGCAATGGACAAGCTAAACTTTATCCTGCATGGTGGGAGGTCGATAAGGTTAGCATTTATTTTAGATTGAGTTTAAAGGTATTCATAAATAAGTGCGCAAATGAATGAATTATTACTTATGATTGCAGGTGTTTATCCCTGTTTTGGAACGTAAACATTGGCTTCTCGTCGAGCTTCAGCTCCCATCCCTTAAGGCAATAGTATATGACAGCATGATAAATTATATATCATTGGCTGATTTAAGAGATATTATTAAGGGATGGAGCTCTCATTTGGCTAAATTCTTGGATGCGATAAATTATTGGACTCGTTCTGGAAACGAGAAGCCAAAGAAGCTCAATATTACAATTAGCAGAGACGAGACCGCACCACAACAAACGAAATGACCCAGAGGGGATTGTGGTCCTCTCGTATGCTTGGCGTTGGAGCGTTTGATCACAGGAAGTATAAAGTATCTACCTCCCACCGATAGAGATAGAGCTGCAGTAGGCTTGTGGTTTCGGCATTATATGGCTAGATCGATATATACGAGACGTTGCCTACCTGCATCCGCGTTATAAAAATGTCCATAAACAATTGGTAAGTTTATAGGCTTTTGGTTTGAAAATGTTTGGTTAAGTACCTAGAATTCAATAATTTGCTGTTTGTATGTTTTAGATGTGTAGAAAGTGTTGTTTGAGCAAATGCTTGGTTTCTGCATGTTAATCTCAGAAGTGAGCTGTGTGAAAATGATGTATGGCTGCAAAAGTTGATTCAATAGTAGATGAGGAAATAAGAATTATTGCTTATTTTTTGATTGTTTAATTGATTTGTAAAAGATGATTTGTAAAAGTTGATTTGTTTAATTGATGTGAACATAATTCTTATTGGTGCTTGTTTAATTGATTGAAATGTAATGGTTGATTTTGTTGATTTCAATTAGCATTATGTTGAAGGAAAAAATGACTATCGCAATGCGAAATGAAAATCGCAACGAGAGAATCGCAACGCGAAACTAAAATCGCAACGCGAAACTAAATTCGCGTTGCGATTTTCATTTCGCTTTGCGATTCCCTCGTTGCGATTTTCATTTCGCATTGTGATTCTCTCGTTGCGATTTTCATTTCGTATTGTGATAGTCATTTCCGCGTTGCGATAGACATTAAGATGATTGCGAACGTCATTTTCGTGTTGCGATAGTCAAATGAATGCCTAATAAGTGATAACAACTGAACAGATCATAGCAATTTTCAAACTCAAGTTACTAATACATGCCTAACTGAAAATGTTAAAAGTTCACACATAAAATCCACATAATACAACGTTTGCATTTAAAAATCACCTAAGTTAACAGTCTCAAAAGGTGAAGCCGGTTGTGATTGGGATTTTAAAGATGATTGTGATGAGGATACATATTTTGGTAGAGGAAAAGATGATTGTGATGGCACTGGTGATCCACATGTCAACCTTGTATGACCACTTTCCTTGCACCGACTACATGTCGATCTCTTCTTCTCTTCACCCTTAGACGGTATACGATCGTGACTTTTTGGTCGGCCAGGTAGCCTTCTGTCCATGGCTGGTGGCAAAACTGTTTGTAAGTCATCTGGTATGTCCCACTCAGAAGGATGTGGAATAGGGTAGACAATCTCGCCATAAGTTTGTCGATATACTTCTGTAGTGTAGCAATCCATAGCGTATGCGCTTGAATCATCTTGGTTTAGATGAAGAGAAACTTTTATAACATGGCCACACGGATAACCAGATGTTTGCCATTTCATACAACTACACGTCTTTGCATTTAGATCGACAAGGCCATTTAAGTTATTTTCCAGTACTTCAAACAAAGTGTTTGAACATGGTTCAACTCTCCATGACGTTGACTTCAGAACACGTTTCGTTATCTTTTTTTCTGTCCATGGTGTAACACGATGTTCCAATGTTCCTGTAAATTTAAATAAATAATACTTAGTAAAATATATGATAAGTTACGAATTTAAAGAAATAATACCTGCATGGTTTCTTTTCTTGTAGTACCACTATTGAATAGAGGCTCGAAAAAACTCCATTAACATAGTAATGGGTAATTTCCGGGAATGACGACTTAGAGCGTTGATTGATTCTGCACTATTAGACGTCATGAAACCATATCTTGCTCCAAGTTGATGTACTCTTGACCATCTTTCAAACCCGACATCTTCTAGTGTTTGAGCACACTGAGGCAAAACACGTCTTAAACAGTTTATATGCTTATTAAAATCCACTTCCCGATAAGCTTTTACAGCCTTCCAGTATGTCCATTTGTGATTTTTTATACCAGAAGACCTTGATTTTAGATTTCTATACAAATGAACACCATAAAGTCCATGAAAAGCATCTGGGAAACACCTTCTAACAGCGTTGTCAATTGAGTTTGCCCTATCGGATATGATTGTCAGATTACTAATAGGACCTATGCAATCCCTAAGATGCCCCATAAACCATGTCCATGAATCAGAGGTTTCAGATTTGCCAACCCCGTAAGCTATTGGCAGTATCCCATTGTTAGCATCCATGGCTACTGCTAATAAGTTTACTCCAAGGTATCGACCTTTTAAATGTGCTCCGTCAACTATAATAACTGGGCGCATGCAATTAATAAACGAACGAATCTACAAAATTATATACACAAGAAATATAATCATTTAAATGTGAAATGCATGTAACTAACAAAAATGAGTCAACAAAATTATATTGATTTACTAACCGCAACACCAATGGCGATAAACAACAACTCAAAGCGTCCATCTATATCTGTTTTGATATGAGTTACCGACCCAGGATTTTTCAGCTTTAAATTGTGACAATAAGCCGGCAGTTGGGCAAACGATGCTTCTGGCGACCCCCTCAACAATTTCAAGGCATAACATTTGGCTCTCCAAGCTTGAGAATATGAGATACTAATCTTGAACCGAGCATTCATGTCAGTCATAATTTCATGTCCCCGATATACCCTACCATTCAAAAATATTAACTCAGCCAGAAAACCACCCAACACCTTTTTGTTTGCTTGCTATAGTGAGGAAAAACTTGGGTTCTTGAACATGTATGTTTATCAATAAAAGTCCTAACTTGAAACATTTCGTAATCTTTTATCCTCTTTGCAATCATACGCCACATACAATTTTTGTCAATCATACACCTTGTTTCGAAACGATCTTTGCTTGATTTGTTAACTTTTAGTTGATAGCCATCTTCCACACATTTGGTATACAAAGCTATCTTCAAGTCTTCCTTTGTATCAAAACAATCATCTTTCTTGATACGAATAATTTTTGTGTGACAATCAACTGCTATCTTTACCAACTCTTCTTCCGGTATCTGAAGTAATTCTGGCATATTCCAATTATACTCCCGTGGCATTTTCTTCGGGGACTTTTCTTTGAGGATTTCTTCTTCTTCTTTTTCTTCTTCAGTGTTATATGAATTACAGAATGGATGTTCAACATGTTCATTTACAGTCGTAACTTCCTCCTCATTATCATCAACAACATCTTCCTCGGCAACAGCTGTTTCATCATCAAAATTCGGGTATTGACCAATATCAAAATCATTACACGCATGGTCTGTTTCTTCTTCTGAAAAATCATCAAAATCCGAGTATTGACCAAGATCAAAGTCCGGGTATTGACCAAGATCAAATTTCGAATACTGACTAGTACTCACAAATTTTTTTGTTGGCTCATCATCGTCTAACTGGTCAATACAAAAACCGAAATTTGGTGTTGAAAGTTGATTGGGATTTGGATTAAGGAAAGGTTGTGGGTTTTGAGATTGCGTTTGGTATTGGAAATGTGGTGACACAATATTTGCTTGGTGATGAAATTGTGGTGGGACCATTAAATTTTGAGCACCATAGACTGGGGTTGAAAAACTTAGTTGATTACTACCCGCTACTGACCCAACTTCACTACTTCTAGGTTCAACAACATACAATGTAACATCATCACTTGAAACACTAATGTAAGCAATGAATCGTTCAACATATTCATTGTCGGTTAACAAATAAACTTTACCATTTCTCTGATAAGATAGCCTAAATCCACTTAGGGGCTCTAAATTCAATTTATTTGCAACACGTAACATTAGAGTTTCATAAGTTAACTTTTTTAATGACAGTTTTAGTTGAAGATTCATGGGTAAAGGCATATATTGTAAAACACCATGAACATTCTCCTATGACCCTCCAAAACACAAATCTATCCAAACATAATCAACATTAGATGATTTCATTATTGTAAATTAATTTACTAAACAAACGAGCTGCAAAACTAAAACATGTTGCCGGATGGGGAAGGATGTCGTTGGATATAGGAACGGATGTCGCCGGAGAGAGTGATAGATGGAGATGGAATGAGTTGCGATTTAGGGATTTAGGTTATGAGTTGCTGCTGCTGCGTAGTTATATACCCAAAACATTTGTGTTGCGAAATTAAAACCTGTTGCGAATTTGAAATTCAGTATTGCGATAGTCAGAATCTCGTTGCGATTTACGTAAATCGCAATGCGATTACGTAAATCGCAATGCGAATACGTAATCGCGTTGCGAATCTGGAAACTGATTTGCGATACCGGAGATCGCGTTGCGAATTATCGATCGCATTGCGATTTAGTTGGTCATTTTGGCAAATCCAAAAAAAGTTGGTTAAAATCGTATATTATAAGGCATTTTTTGTCACTGAGGTTATTTTCTCATGTAAAAATGTTTATTATATATCGACTTTTTAGAATTATTGTTTGAAAATACTAAGAAAAATATTAAAATTATAATTATAATTAAGGGGCTAAATAAGATGTTATTCATTAATTTTAATGTGAAATGTCAACTCTAAACCAACTAGCGGCGTAGTGCTTATTTTGTAATAAAATCTAAAGTTTAAGATTTATTTTATAATATTTTAACGTTAAGTGACCAAAATGATTATTTTGGAATAATATAGTGACCATTTTTGAATTTACCCTTTCATTTTCTATGCTAAAAATTCAGCAGCTCTCGCAACCAGCGCCTCCATCTCTCGTCTCCATTTGCCTCAAAACCCTAGCGTACACTACTTCATACAAACTGTTTTTTACTCTCGGCACCCATGGGTAAGTCTCTCAGTCTTCTCCTTCGTGGATTTTTCATTCCCTTATTCTCTATTTACTCTTACAATCATATCGATTGTGTCGCTTCCCTTAATCACGGATCTGGTTGTTTTACTCGGTGATTGTTTCAGTTTTGATCTTATTTCGCCGAGAACTTCACTTAATTATATATATGATTTAATTCTTTTAAGATTACGAAACTTTTATTAATGAAAGCTGTTTTAGGAAATGACAGCTTCGGTTCACCATATTGAGATGTTTAGGATTTCAGGATATGAACTGAATTGAACTTAAAGTTGATTAACTAAGGTTCGTATTAGTTGAGTAGGCTTATAAATCATAGAAATTTGTTTGTAATTGTATTTATCATTTTTTTTTATTTTAATTTAGCTTTAGCACCTTTGTATGCTGCAGTGGTGAATATTGATCGATAATTCTTGGAATTAACGTGTCAAAAATTTCTCTCTTGGTTTCTTTTCCTTTTCTAATTTGTAGATATCGAGGCCGAGATCCGTGCATTGCAGCTTGACTCTGCTGGTAGTATACTCTTAATGTTTTGGCTTTCCCTTTTGTTTTTGGAATCTGTTTTCTTTGTCTTTTTTTGAGTTATATTATCAAATCTTAACAGAAGATAATAATGGTACGGTCATTCCTGAAGATGCAAAACCGGAAGAAGTTGAAATGACAGATAAGGCAGAGGAAGTTGAAATGACAGATAAGATGGAGGAAGAAGGTTGGTAGTGTTGTTGATCTTTGTATTCATGTCCTGCTAATATTCTTATGTTAATGAAGCTGTTGGAGAGGAAGATAGTTAGAGGAGAGATTGTCACTGAGAAAATTCATTCTAAACTTTATATAATTTGTCAATTTGGTTTTATTACAGTTTTTGTTATCTCCAAAACGGAATTCTAGAGTTTTTATACTAAGTAATTTTCATTGGTGCTCTGAAGCTACTTTGCAATCTCATAAACAAATAAGAATTAAACTGTATTATAAGGTTTTGTAAGGAAGTTGAAACGACTCTCCTTTTGTTGCATGCGAAAGTGATATGAAATCTCTAGGTGATGTGTTTTCTTGTTTTTTACATGGGTTATGGAATTTATATTGTGCATGCACACTGTAGCTTTTTGTGAGTTGCAATGCAGATATAAATTTGGTTTTCGTGTTTACTTTGTCTATGATGCATTGACTTAGGATTTGGTGTCAGACTTTGTATATTTTAGGCATAGTTTTTATCAATCTTTTACATTCAAAAGTATGCATCATCTCCTATAAATTAAAAGCATTCAAGAATTGAGTGACAAAGGTATAATAGGATGAAGTGAAGAGTCCGTGGACCATAGCCAATCAGATGCATTATATACTTGTTTTCTTTTTTGGTGACCTAATTCTTTGTTGACCATATTTTTGAATTATTATTGACAATAGGCTGCTGGTAAATGTATAGTTGTTATTTGCCTCTTTTCCAGTTTAGATACCAAAGCTCAGGGACGGAGCCAGGATACCATTTCAAGGGGCAAAGTATAATTAATCATGGAAAATGAGGGGGGCAAAGTATAATTTACCTTAGAAAATGAGGGGCTAAATCAAAATAAACTAAATTAGAAGGTCTAATTTGATATTTACCCATTTATTTTTTAAAATTATAAAAAATGGGGGGGGCAGTATCCCCCCGGAACGAAGCATAGCTTTGTCCCTGCCAAAGCTGGCCCAGCATAGATGCTAATTGCTCTTTCCTTTGCTAAAATGTTACATGCTTATCTATTCATGTTGAACTTCTGTTTGTCAGTTTAGTTTCATTTTGAAAAAAAAATGTTGTTATCTTTTTTATTGTTGGTTTCAGGCATGAAGGATAAGGTTGATACTAAATCCCAGCCAGTCCAGGCTGAGCCAAAAGGTTTCTTCATTCCCTTTTCTCTGCCTCCCGTGCTTGTCTGTTCTGTGTCTGTAACTTTCTTATTCCAATTTTCATTTTCTTGTTCTTTTTCATTTTTGTTGTGCGTTGAAAGACAAGGAAGTAGTTGTTCTGGAGGATGCAGAAGCACCAGATGAAGTGGACTCACAAAAGAAGCGCCATTTGAATGTTGTCTTTATTGGTCATGTTGGTGGGTATTCCTACGTCATGGCTTTGCTTATGTGAAAGCTGGCATGCCGCATTCAGCCATGCATACATGTTTATGTCCATTATGAGTTGCTTATGCTAACCTAGGAAACAGTTCAAATTTGTAGTGTTAACCTCGCCAACCCCTTATTTATTATGTGCTGCATTGGGCTTTGTCAATTGAGCCACATGCATGAATGCTGTGAAAGCAGTTATAAATTCGAAATGAGAAAGCAGTTATAAATTTAATTATTTCCGGTACATATTGTTAGGAATTAAGGTTGAGTTTGGGTAAATAGAATTCAACCCTTTTTGGATGATTGAATGGTGGATTAAAAGGAAGAAAATGCTTAATGGAATTCAAAGTTCGAAATGAGAAAATTCGAACAACCTTGCACAAAGGATGTGGAACCAATGCAGTCACTACTAATTAGTTGCCCCGTGCCTTCTTAAGCTTCTTTATAAAAAAAACCTTCATCAAAGACTGCTGGTAATCAATATTTTTCTTACTGAAACATGAAATTTATATGCAGAATCTAAATAAATTATCTTCGTTTTATGTTTTGACTTTCCTTTATTTGATTCTTAGATGCTGGCAAGTCAACATCTGGAGGCCAAATACTCTTCCTCAGTGGTCAGGTTGATGACCGTACAATCCAGAAGTATGAAAAAGAAGCCAAGGAGAAAAGTAGGGAAAGCTGGTGAGCTTTAAGTTTGGTTTATAACCATGATAGTGATTAGTGAATCGGTCTAATCATTTTTGTACTTGTTTTTGTGATGAGCGTGCAGATCCTGGAATTTAGGCTTTTTATACCTTGTTTCAAAGGTTCAATTATACCTAGCTGTAATTAAACTCAGTAACTGTTTTGTTTGTGTTAATTAATTCATCACCTGACAGTTTCAGATTAGTTGGCTAGAGTTGATCTGCATGAAAAAGGTGAATGGTGAGACGGACATGATTTGCATTTTACATTAGCTGGGATGAAAGAGTGGAGTATTTCTGACCAAGATGGCAAGAATTCCAAACCAAGATTCAATCTAATCCAAACATGATAGTACTAGGATTAACCCTTGACTTGAATGAGTAACTAGGTGCACTAACATCCATTGGCAGGAGGCACTGCTTGAAATGTGATTTTGGATGGAGAAGAGAGCACAAAAGATTATACACTTTTTCCTCCTTCTGAACTATGTCAAAGTGTACTAAAGCTGTACTTCTTGAAATGTTATTGGCTTCTTGTTAAGTAGTTCTGATCATATTTTATTTTATTCGTCTCGAACATTCATGTGTGCTTTAGAATGTTTGATCTTTTTGCTATTGATTCAGTGTGCTATCTGCATCTTTCGAGAACTTCCATTGGTTCACCCTTTTTAAAAACAATTTCTCATTACCTTGCAGCTTTCGCAATAGGAAATTTCAATGTATTGATGTTGAGATTGTTCTCTCTCTCCCTCTCTCTTATAGACTGGATCTTCGGCTATTGCATTATCTGACTTAACTACTTTCCATGTGTTAGGTATATGGCATATATTATGGACACTAATGAAGAGGAGAGGGTTAAGGTAGTGTATAACAGAGAGATGTTACAACTTACAAACTTTGAGAAATTATAGTTAATTCCTGATATATTTCCGTTAGTGTTGTCAACATTTATTCATTCTTAGCTAGAGTACCGTTGCTACTCTGGGGGTTCATTAAATTTGAACATGTTGATCGCAGGGCAAAACTGTTGAAGTTGGAAGAGCACACTTTGAGACTGAGACTACTAGATTTACTATTTTGGATGCACCAGTAAGGGGATTGCCTCTGAAATGCACTGTTTAATCTATCTTATCTTCTAGTTAAATGTTTGATTACTTGTAGGATACGTTGATAGATTTGATTTATTTTGCTGTTTTATTTTGTAGATTGAGATTTTTCTGAGTCCTGATTTGTGGCTTAGTTGGATTGCTTTCTTTTTGCACCCGTGTTGCTCCTCAAATGCTCCATTGATATTATAAATCACATTACATAATGATTGAATTACGGGATCACTTTAATAGTGCATCATGAATGTCTCATTATAAATCATATTTCATCCTAGCTTAATAAGGTTTTTGCCTTTCCCTTGTCCATGTGGCTAGCTTACCTCTTATCTACTTTCATAGGGTCTCCAGGCGTTTTCCTTGAGTTCTGTTATCTTCTGAGGTCTGTCAAGACCTGAGCTAGGGCAGCTACGAGGTTACTCTTACTAGCATAGCAGGCTCACCCTTTTTTATCCTTATAGTAGGTAGAGGAGCCTACCCTATGCTAAATAACTTCACCACTCATGGTCTTCCCACTCCACTCGTTCTAAGGTGCTCAATTCATTGGTCTCAAGATTCAACTGCCTATTCAATGGAATCTGCCCGTAGCTAGCCTGTTCTGGGATCTTTCCCTTAGCCTTCTTTCTTTATTCTTTATCGCCTGGTCTTTTGTATGGGACGTGGGATCTTTCTTTCCTGAATCCATTTACCTTAATGATTAAAATCTAAAATTGCAGGATAACTTTAATAGTGCATCACAAATTTGTCATATAAGGTTACCAATAGAATGCCGTCTTGCAATATGCTGTTACTGCTTGTAAGTAATAGAGAAAGGGATAGGAAATAAAAAAAAACTAAACATTTCCATAGCATAGTACTATACATTAGATATGCCTTAGGGTATTGTCTAACCGTAATTAATGTGCTCGAATCTGATCAAGAATGGAACTGAACAAAGTCATTTGTTTTTTATCAGATTCTTTTTATTTTGAATTCAGATTTTGATGAAATTTTTGTTTATTAAAACTAAATAAGGTTTCTATTGACTATTTAGGGTCACAAGAGTTATGTTCCAAATATGATCAGTGGGGCATCTCAAGCTGATGTTGGTGTGCTTGTAAGTCACATCCTGTGTCTTTCCATTAACTGCTTAATATGGTGTAATGCAGATTTTGGCTTTCTAATTTCCCTTTTTGTTTCTCAATTAGGTGATTTCTGCACGTAAAGGGGAATTTGAAACTGGATACGAGAAGGGTGGGCAGACCCGTGAACATGTCCAGCTGGCAAAGACCTTGGGAGTTACGAAGCTAGTTGTAGTAGTTAATAAGATGGATGATCATACCGTCAACTGGTCTAAAGAAAGGTATTTTGACTGGATTTTGTAACAAGTCTGAGCTTTTGAGCTGTCTTTAATGTGCATTTTCTATTATGGGCTTGTTTGTTAATATTACTGATGGAGGTCTTCTTCAACAGGTATGATGAAATTGAGTCAAAGATGACACCTTTTCTGAGATCGTCTGGATACAATGTGAAGAAAGGTATTGGAACTGTTGTTAAAAAACTTGCAAGTTGCATTTTTTTCTTCGTGATATTTTCAAGTTTGTAGAACCATTCATATATGTTATTACCCATAGTGAGATATTGAAGTACTTACTCTGCGAAGGAAATAGATAAGCTAAATAAACCCCTTGTGTGTTTGTAATATGCCTGTGGTTTCTTATGCAACTTGACTTATTTTCTACTTTCTTCCAAAATAAATTTTACCTATTGTAGTTTAACACGCATATTTAGCTATTCAGATATTCTTCTAATCAATTTTTTGGGAGTTGAAATCATGGATTGGAACCAAATCACTGTCAGATTGTCTAGGAAACTTAGGTGTTGTTTGACAAACTACAAAAAATTTTAATGCTGTGTACTGTATATATTCAGATTCTCAATCTGGTATGGTAGTTTAGAACTCTGTTTTATCATCTGACAGTAATTATATTATGTAGTTTTAATTTGGATGTTTGGCTATTCAACAGATGTTTCTAATAAATTATTTTAGAGCTGAAACTGTGGAATAGAAGGTAAATGATTGCTGTTAGTTTGTTTAGGATAGTAATTTGCTGCTGAAAACTTGTGTTACATTTTATTACTTTTTCTTTGGAATGCTCTATTCTGCCTAGCTGTAATGTAATTATGTAAACTTTTGTCTAATTAGGCTTCCTCTCCTGTAGCTCTTGATATTGAGTGTCGATGTATCTTTCTTTCCTCATTGTGTAACTTTTAATAGGGTCAGATTATGATAGCATGTTTTTTTATGTTATTGAAGCTTATGTTCCTACGTTAGAGACTTGCTTGGTTTGCTGAGCATATAAGTTATGTTTTAAAACAAGTTATAATTCATTGCTAGCTCTTGTTTTATCTTGCAGATGTCCTGTTCCTACCAATATCTGCTCTTATTGGGGCTAATATGAAAACAAGAGTAGATAAGAGTACATGTCCTTGGTGGAATGGTCCTTGCCTATTTGAAGCCCTCGATTCTATTGAAGTTCCTCTCAGAGATCCAAAAGGTCCATTTAGGTAAGTGATCTATAAACCATCTTCCATAGCAGGATTCACTGCACACACAACTTTTATGTTTGGTTCTAGTTCCTGGTGTCCTACCATCAAACCGTAGCATGCATGACCAATTTCTTTGTTATCTTATTTTATGATGTATCTGATGATTTGCTATTGACTAGGATGCCTATAATTGACAAATTCAAAGACATGGGAACTGTTGTTATGGGAAAGGTAGAATCTGGGAGTGTTTGTGAGGGTGATTCCTTATTATTTATGCCAAACAAGGTGCTTGATCTTTTCAGCCTTTTATTATATTTATGTATATTGTGTTCTAATTTTATGGGCTATGAGGCTTTTATGCGTGGGTTGCAGGCTCAAGTGAAAGTTCTAGCTGTTTATTGTGATGAAAATAAGGTTAGGCGTGCAGGACCTGGTGAAAATCTACGAGTTAGATTATCTGGGATTGAAGAAGACGACATATCGGCAGGTTTTGTCTTGACAAGTGTTGGTAAGTATTGCTTAAATGGAGTTATGTGATAAATTTTATAACCCTTTCTCTCGTCTTAATTGATTGTTTTTAATATTAAAATTGCATTGTTTTATTTTGCCTTGGTTTTAGGGTGTAATGTGTGTTTTTCCTTCATGCAGTAAAATCGATACCGGCTGTCACTGAATTTACAGCCCAGCTTCAGATCCTTGAATTACTTGAGAATGTATGCATGAATGTCATGTTCTGTTGTCCTTATTTTACGAACTTGATGCTGTCTGAATGTAATATGGTTTGTAAATGTTGTTACTGTTTAGGCTATTTTTACAGCTGGCTATAAGGCTGTCTTGCACATTCATTCTGTTGTTGAGGAATGCGAGATAGTTCAACTACTACAGCAAATTGATCCGAAGACAAGGAAACCCATGAAAAAGAAAGTTCTTTTTGTGAAGAATGGTGCTGTTGTTGTTTGTCGTATTCAGGTTCATACTCTATACTTCTTTGAAATGAAACTGAATGAATTGTAAGATTGAACTAGTGAGAAACAGATGGAAAGCAAAAGGGTAGAACAAATAGTAGGGTAGCTTAGAGACTAATGATAGACCACCACAATCAGCTCTCATTTCCGGGTTCCAGCTATGGAAAATGTTCTGATTAATCAGATACAGATGGCTAGTGTCAATATTTCCAACTAGATTGAACTTGCAACATAATATCAGGGTTCTATACTCTCTCCAATGTACGTGTGATGCATGTTCTTTATTTAATGTTATGTTTTCTGTGGAGGGGCTGGAAATTCCATTCAGTAGGTTACATTTGTCAGATGATAACTGATTGCATAAAAAGAAGTTTTAAGAACAGAAGATATTGGCTGAATTGATCTCGGTTAGTTTTAGGCTTGATAAATACTTTTTTCTTGTGCGTAGGTTAACAACATGATTTGCATTGAGAAGTTCTCAGATTTTCCGCAACTTGGGAGGTTCACTCTTCGCACAGAAGGTATTTTTTTTTATTTCTTCCTTCCAATTGTGGATAAAATATCAGTCTTTGTGGCTGTGAGACGCATTGAATTGTGTGTCCTGTCTTCAGGAAAAACCGTTGCAGTAGGAAAAGTCACAGATCTTCCCTCAAGCAGTAGTGCTTAAAAGATTTTGTTGGTAGAGGTGAGAATTCGGGTTTGTACCAACCGTCTGAAGTTTTATTTGTGCCCACTGTATTTCTCCCGTAGTATTAATCAATTTAAGAAAAACAAATAATTGTCAGAGATTCATCCTTGGTCCACATGATTCCTCTCAAATCGCATTCTGCTTCTTGGTAGCAGCTTTTAATTCGAGTTCATGTTGAAAAATTATGTAGTTTAGACTAGTATTGCATTCCATCCCAAGTTATCGTGTTTAGTTTTCAGGAAGTCGTGTGGGTAACATTTTACTCTTGGACCTTGGCAGGTAAGCTTATGCTGTTGGGTTGCATTTCAGAAGAGTGTTGATTTTTACATGTTGCCTGATCTAATAGTTTTAAGGGAAAGTTGAGATGGTTATTGTTGCTTTATTTTTTTATGTATGGGATCGGATATTGGTATGAACCAATTCACACCCACCCACCCACATCGTTCATTAAAAATGAAACACAAATAGAGTTTTATTAAAGTTGGGGAAAACATATAAATTTTGTGTTTACAAAGGTGACTTGAAAAAGGAATAGGACCAGAGTTTTCAATCCAAAATTCTTCTTTAAATAAGATGATGTGATGATTGGGGACAGTATTGCTTTCAGACTATTTAGATATAAGTTCAAGATGCATTTATTGTTATTATTATTTTTATTAAAGTTTGCCTTTTTTAGTCGCATTTCCTTATAAAATTAAAATGTTTTAGTTCCCCATGCCATGAAATCTTGCAACAATACGTCTTGGCCTGAATCTAAATTATGATTTAACTAATAATAATGATATTAAAATCTTGCAAATTAATAAAACAAAACATCCTCCCTCGTGATTTTATCTTAAACGATAAAAAGTACATAAAGCAAAGCAAAAAAGGGTGGAAATTAGGGAAGTAAAACTTGATTCGAAAAATTAATTTTTTAATTCAGATTCACAAAGGAATTAGCCATGTGGAACTCGCATATCCTTGCTTGTTACCATCTACAATTTTTGATCCAGGGTTAACTTTGGTTATCATTCAGTACCACATCCTGGGCTTTTTTAGCTTTCATCCTAGGCTTTTTTAGCTTTGTTCTCAGCTCCATTTTGCTTCTCCTCTATACCCGACTGAGAGAATCTTTGACGAAGAATTTGAACATTTTCTATCTTTACGCCTTAACAAAACCATGGCATGGTACATCACATCTGCCATTTCTGAAGCTGTTCGTGAACTCTCCTCTTTCTCCTCCAACGTCCGACATAACTGATCTGCTTCTTCCCTGCAACAATCAATACGTGCATAAGATTAACATGCTCAAACTAAAGATATAATGGTAATGAGCACAATATCATGCTGATTATCGCCGGTTCGAACCTACTTTACATCATTTGATACAGTTTAGTTCCTTACCAGTCCAGTCTCAAACTTTTAACACTTAAAAACTACTTTCTACGGTTCTTTATGGGGGCATATCATACTACTACTACCATTGCCAAGGTAAACCTGATTATTACCGGACTTTTGAGCACAACAATTTCTCATCGAGTAATAGTCGTTTGGTCCAAGAGGGTTTTTTCGTGTCGCTCCGCTATCTCTGATTCTCGTTGGGAAATTGTTGACTCCAGTGAGTATAAGGTTGTCAGCGCCAAGTTATTTTCTTTGACCTGCCAAAACAGACTAGGTTAATTTACGAACTAGAAAACTAGCACCATGTAGCATTGTAGATTCAAAAGATTGTGCCAACAAACTAGCTAAAAGATTAAGAGCTGCTTTACTTCTTCCCCCTTTATCAGATCACTTATCGATGTGAAAATATCAAGTCTCCGACCCTGTGTGGCAGGTAGGACCATCAGGCTTCCCATGATAAATTATCTGAAGAAGAATTGTCAGTCAAGTCAAAATAAATCAAGTAATCAAAAAGATGTCATTCAGAAAGCTAGAACATACCGAATCACGATCACAATCGACAAAGATGTCATGAATGTTGATGAAATTATCAGAAGTTTCTCCCTTCGTCCATAATGTTGCTCGTGATCGACTGAAGAATGTTGCCTTCCTAGAAGATATGGTTGTAGCTAGTGCATCCCTGTTGATGAAGCCTTGCATTAATATGGCTCCCGTATCAACATTTTGAGCTATAGCCACTGCTAAACCTTTGTCGTCCCATTTTATACTGTCCAATAATGTATCAACCTGAAATTAAAATTTTTAGACATCGAGGCCCTTTCACTAAGATGTTTGTCTGGTCTTTTCAATTAACAAAAGTCTAAAGAGAAGTAAAAGAATTTTTTTTATCACAACACTTAACTATAAAACAAATCAAGACAAGTTGACAACAACAACAACAACAACAAAACCCTATTCTCATATGTAATGGGGTAAAGGGGAGGTAGGGTACTAGGCTGCCCCCAACGCCAAGTTGAGAACAGCTTCCGTGGAAGACCTCCGGCAGTCAGAAAATTAAAAGTAAAGATAAAATGCAATGCATGTATAAATAAATATATAAATAAATCCCCGCAAATAAATCCCTGCGTAAAAATCTCTGCATATAGACAGAAACGTAAGACCCGACTAAATTTAAAAAAAGGAAACATGAAGAGAAGGATACACAGAAATCAACGATAGCAAGTTAAGAGAAGAAATAAAGTCAAATGGTTTCTGTAAGAATAAAATGTCGAAAATCAAGAAAGGATATAGACAGAGGAGAGGACAAGGTGTTCAAACACTTGTGGGCTTTGCCAGACACCACTCAATACTTTAGTTACATAACATCCAACTTGCAGAGACTAACATAGGTGCATATGCCAAACGAACAATCATGTGAACAGAACCAACATACCTAGCAGTTTTTGTCCTTTAAGAACCATAGATACAGAGCAGTGCAAGCACAAATCCGAGCATGCTTTATAACACTGAAGTGAAACGTGACAGTTTCATAAACAGTACAAGTAGAATACAAAGGAATGACAAATAGAATTCCTTATCAAACGTTATTGAGTTAGAAATTCTAATCTAAAACTTCACCATGTGTCCTAAACTCCAGATGTTATGAACTTCCAAATCCATACTATAAACAATGAATAATTTGAAGAACTTCAGTGGACAAGCTCTGGAGACATGAGTCTAGATGTAGCTCGTGTAAGTTACAAGAACTGATCACTTGGCATCAATGAAAACCTTCTAGAGAAGTCAAACGAAAGAATAGAAACCAATTATCAGAGTTGTCCATCCTTTTTCTTCTGTTTACAAGACATCTAATACTAAAGCAATATTTCATAGATAAACACCTAAAAGTGGTATCGATAATGAAAATAAAGTAAAAGCATAGAAGTTATTTCCAAATGCATATGCTAAGTATTATTATCATTTGCTTTACCATCCAAAAACATAAAAGAACACATTCGCAACTATAACTGAAATAAGAACGACCTCATAGTTGTATGTACACATTTTTTACTGAAAAAACAATTAAAAACGTTTCAGAGATGTACAGTCCGGATGTAGCTCAAGTAATAACTAAAAAAAATATTATTGGGCAACGATGGACTCCATCAAGGGATGGCTAATAGATAGATTGGAAACCCAAACCATCAATTCCTTCCCTATCTTTTATTTTCCAGATATGTAACAGTCAATACCATCATAGCAAAGGTAGACACCTGACTACATCTGGTTGAACTCATGGAAGCAGACAGCTAAATATTAAATATTTTTTCAGAGTATACACCAAAAAATGCAACTATATTCAAAAGATATAGATGCATGGAAAGTTTTGCCAAATGAATAGAACAGATTCACAACACATTCCACTGTATCCAAAATAAGGATGGCTTCTTCATACTCGAATGAATAGAATGGCCACTAATATATAGAGGTGTTGACAGATGTAGCATCCAGATGTAGCTCAAATAATAACTAAACACATTACTGAGCAACGATGGACTCCTTCAAGGGATGGATATTCCTTATCTTTTATTTTCCAAATATGTAACGGTCTCTACCATCATAGCAAAGGTAGACATCTGGACCACATCTGGTTAGACTCATGGGAAACAATCTAAATATTATATAATATTTCACAGATAAAGACCCAAAAGTGCATCCACAATAAATGATATAGAAGCAATGTATTTCCAAATGCAGTTATTAAGTGTTATTACCATTTACTTCACCATGTCTAGCCCGTTAATAAAATAAACAGATCACCATGTGTCCCGCTATATTCAAAATAATAATGGCCTTCACACTTGAATGTATAGAATGATCACTGATATGAAGAGGTACCAGAGCAATGTAGTGTCTAGATGTAGCTCAAGTAATAACTAAACGCATAGTAATGGGCAACGATGGACTCCATCAAGGGATAGCTAATAGATAGATTGGAAACCCAAACAATCAATTCCTTCCCCATCTTTTATTTTCCAGATGTGTAACAGTCCCTACCATAATAAGCAAAGGTACCTAACTACATCTGGTTAGACTCATGGAAGCAGAAAGCTAAATGTTAAATAATATTTCACAGGTATAAACCAAAAAATGCATATATATTCAAAATATATTGAAGCATGGAAAGTATTGTCAAATGCGTATGTTAAGTGTTACCATTATTTTCTTCACTATGCCTATCCCTTTAAGAAAAAAACAGGCTCACCACACACATTCCACTGTATACAAAATAAGAAAGGCTTCTTCATGCTTGAGAGTTGAGTGAACATAATGACCACTAATATATAGAGGTGTTGAGAAATGTAGAATCCAGATGTAGCTCAAGTAATAACTAAACACATAGTTCTGAGCAACGATGGACTCCTTCAAGGGATAGATATTGCTTCCCTATCTTTTATTTTCCAGATATGTAACGGTCTCTACCATAGTAGCAAACGTAGACACCTGGACCATATCTGGTTAGATTCATGGAAAACAATCTAAATATATGTAATATCTCACAGATAAAGACAAAAAAATGCATCTACATTCAAATGATATGGAAGAAATGTATTTCCAAATGCAGTTATTAAGTGTTATTACCATTTACTTCACAATGTCTAGCCCTTTAACCAAAAAAAAACAGATCAGCATGTGTCCCACTATATACAAAATAAGAATGGCCTTCACACTTGAATGTATAGAATGATCACTAATATAACGAGGTACTAGAGCAATGTAGTGTCCAGATGTAGCTCAAGTAATAACTAAACACAGTACTGGGCAACGATGGACTCCATCAAGGGATGGCTAATAGATAGATTGGAAACACAAACCATCAATTCCTTCCCTATCTTTTATTTTCCAGATATGTAACAGTCCCTACCATAATAAGAAAAGGTAGACACCTGACTACATCTGGTTAGACTCATGGAAGCAGACAGCTAAATGTTAAACAATATTTCACAGATATAAACAAAAAAAATTGCATCTATATTCAAAATATATTGAAGCATGGAAAGTATTGTCAAATGCGTATGTTAAGTGTTATTATTATTTGCTTCACTATGCCAATTCCTTCAAGAAAAAA